TTGAAGATAAAGTAGTCAGGAAAATGCTTAGAATTAGCTTACAACTGTCTCCTTGACATTACTTCCTGACATGAAGTCAGGAAAAGCTTTTTCAAAAGCTGTAAAAATGTGCTAAAAAATACACATGCAACTTAAAACAATGACACCAGGGGTAAACCTGATTTCAAAAGATTTCATTAAAATTAGAGATAAAATAGTATTTTATTATAAATTTTAACTATTAGGTCTTTATTTGTGGTTCAGTTTTTTTAATATTTTATTTTTATTAATGTTACTTGCTAATTCATATTAGTATATATAATTATGCTTTATAGAATATATTTTATTTTATAGACAGAATCTTGTTCAATCAGTCAGGCTGGAGTACAGTGGTGTAATCAGAACTTCCTGTAGCCTCAAACTCTGGGGGGCTCAAGTGATCCTCCTGTCTTGGCCTCCTGCCCAGTAGCTAGGATTACGAGCATGTGCCATTCTGCTAATTTTTTTAAAAAATTGTGTAGATTTAGGTCTCACTATGTTGCGCAGGCTGGTCTCAAACTCTTGGGCTTAAGGGAACCTCCCCCCAACCCTTGCCCTAGCCTCCTAAAGTGCTAGGATTTCAGGCACGAGCCTCCTCACCTGCCACATTTTAATTTTAATGAATGTTTAACAACTTTATTTTTATTATTTTATAATGTATTTATGGATTTAGATACAAAGTTTATTAAATGTATTTGGTTTCACTGATTTTTTTTTAATGAGTTGTTTTGAAGATAGAATATACCACCAAGTAAATTCAGTAACATAATTTCATTCTGAGAAGGCAATTATGAGTAGGAGTCCTCATATCTGGTAGCCTCAATCTTAGCTGTAAAGAGACTAGAATTAGGTGGTTGGACTGGATAGAGTAGGACTGCAACTTAAGGAAAATGAAAAAAGGTTTAAGATTTTCTGTGGAAACTCTTCTCACAGTTAAAACATAAACAGAAGAAAATGCCAAGAAACAGTAAAATAAAAAATATGACAACAAGAACTTGTACTGGGTCAGGTAATAAGATGTTGTGACTTTATTAATGGTGCTACACAACCAGAGTAGTTCTTTGGACTTCTAGAATATGCAGTAAATTATAAATTACTTTATAAAAGAAAGGATCAAAGTAATCAGCAGCCCTTTTTTCGATGGGTTTGTAGATTGGAATTTAATCCTGACTAGTAAGTTCAGAGTGGATTTCCTCAACTTCTTTTTAGCCTGATCATAGAGAAAACAAATACTCAAAGTAGAAAGCCCTGTTCGAAGTTCAGTTACTTCCCTTTAAAACACCCTGTAAGACACAACTACATTTTTATAATGTATCTTCCACTTGAATCCTTACCAACCAGAGACATTCCCCCCCCTCCATTTTCAGAAGTCCACTCGCACAGAGACATAAAAAAGGTTAAATTTAAATACCCTACCTTTTTAAAAGATCTATTGCATGTACCTGCAAAGCAAATCAGTGGAAACTTAGATATTCAGCAATGCTGAACCCTTGCTTACATAGCTGTTAAACTGTATTTTGATCATTTCTTATCTCCACCAAGTGGACAAAAAAAGCAAATGACACTTATACAGTTTAGAAAACGTGAAAGAAAAAAATCTTTCACCATTCTGTAGTACTGTAGAGGAAAAAATATTTGAGCCATATCAAAAAGTTACATGAAAATATAATTAAAACAAGACAACTGTACTGTGCTATAATAGAGAAGAAATTAGAATAAATGCCTAACTAAAAAGAACCACAACAAGAACACATGAAAATATTAAAGGCAAAAATCCTATCATATTATACCTGCTCCTTCTTGCCATATCTCAACTTTTAAAAATAAGGATCTTTAAGATCACTTAAAAATGGTCTCTGGACCTCATTTTTGCATGGCTATATTTTTCCCAGCTGCCTTAATAGGGTATTGATAGCTATACTGACGGCAATTTCTATCTTTAAAATCACAAGATGACTAAAACTTTGATGAGATGCTTGGAAAGTTACACTGTCAAGCACAAAGTTTCTTAACCCCCAATAGGTATTGTTTTAAATAAACTTCCAATACTGAGTTAAATGACAGAGGGCTAAATGATGAGCACTAAGAGTCAAGTTCGTGAATCAGCATTTCACTTTCACTTCAGAAGTGGACATGTCAAGTACCATCAGCTGAGTCCAGGAGTGACAAGCAGAGAAGTGGGAATGGGAACCCCACTCCTGAATGGCTGGGGGCGGTGGGGCAAGCAAAGGGAAAAAAGACAGGAGAACCCACTCTCTACCCTGCCCCCCACCAGTGGACTAAGCGCCCTGGCTTCTCATCATGTTTAATGACTCACACGGCATTCCAAACTCTTTAAGTTGGGAAAAGCTGGGTTGAGAGGGTGAAAAAAAGAAGAAAAATAAAGACTCACACTTCTTGTACACCTCTGATCTGATCTTCACAACGCTCTGTTACCATGGGACATTTATTACTCACAAGTTCTAATGCTTTTGATCTTTTCTTTCTTTCCTTTTTTTAAAAAAACCTTTATAAGAGTCCTAGACTTAACTATATAAGCAGTTGAAATTAAATTTTCTAAACCAACACCAATCCATGAATGGATATAAACACATTTCCAGGCTGCAGATGAGAAATCTTTTAATTCCATCTAGGGGATCCTTTAGCAACTAAAAAAAAGGTTGGATAAAGATTATTAAAAATAGTTGTTTTTCTGGTTGAGTTTATTTTACAGCCAGTCTTTCCATAAAGGTATTTAATAGCTGATATGAAGCTGAGATGTGAACACTTTAATTCATTCTTAGAAAATTATTTAATAAATGCCAACAATAGGCAAGGTCTTATGAAACAGAAAGAAAGAATAAGCCACAGCCATGCTCCCAAGACACTCAAAACTAGTGTGGACAGAAAGCATGTAAGCAACTTGTAAGAACCTAAAGTAGCAGAATGCATGTGAAAACATGCCATAAAACAGAAACAAAATGTTAACTTCCTCTAATCCAAAAAAGGGGAAGGGAAAGCCAGCCATTGTGATCGAAGACCTACATCAGCACGCTATACAATCCATTAAAATTCATTAATGAATTAAATAAAATAGTTTAAAAGAGTTCTGGTATGATATAAGGAATGTTAATAAAACCTCTTAAGGCACAGAGATCCAGATCCTAATTCTTTCTACTGAGAACTAGCTTCTGGCTGTGACATTAAAACATCACTCTTTCCAAGCCTAGGTTTCCTCATCTATACTTGAGAAATGGTACCTGCTCTACCGGCTTAACTGGCTGTTTTGAGTATGCAGTCGGCTCACAGAATCTTAACTTCATGATAGCTTTAAATCTCAGCTTCCTTCCCCCACAGGAATTTCCTAATAGGTGGTAGTCAGTTATTTAAATTCTTCCTGAGTACTTCCAGGAAGGAGAATTTCACTATTTCTCAAGATCGATTACCACATCTGGGTCGGCTTTCATTCTTAGAAAATACATGCCTAAAACCAAGATCAGCCTCTCAGAAACGTGCATCCTCTAGTCCTCCACAGAAAAACAAAACAAAAAACTGGAAACACCTAACAAGGTAATGAACAATAAAAAATGAAAAGCATTATTCAGAGGGAGCAGAAATCTACTTTCAGAAAGTTTAAGAGCAAGGACTTCGCGGAGTAGGTTCCAATCCAGGCGTCTTTGAGGTGAAGGTTATGACCCATGTGTCTCTCTCTTCTTTTTTGAGGACATTTTTTGTCTGGGGAGAGAAAAACATGCAAGGGGATGGCATGTCCAAGAGTTCTTAAGCAATCTTTTTTGGTATAGTATAAGGGTGGTGGCTGGAGGTCAGCTGAGCAATATTATGACTGAGAACTCAATACCTGCTAATAGCAGACTGAATTCAGCGCAGGGAGTCAATTCACAGCATTCTAAAGATGGGAGGACGATGTTGGAGATTATTAAGTTAGAGAGGCTGACGCAGCTGGGTGGGAGTTAGGGTTTGGGTGCCAACGGCCTCGCTCTAAAATAAACTAAGAGTGGAATAAGGAGTCAAAATTAGATACGGAGGTTCAAAACTGGAAAGCTGAGAATGCAGACTGGAGAGGGAATTTAACGCTGCCATTGCCAAGTGACTAAGAATAGAGCCATTTTAGATTAAAGTTAATATCTAAATAGAACTGATCACTATACGTTTAGGTTCTCTCGCCGCCGCCGCAGCCTCTGTGATAGTCCAGGTTCTCTCCCCGCGGTCCTGAAGGCTACTTCTGCAAGAAGCCTTTTACAAAGTGGAGTCCGTTCCCGATCCATCATGGCAACACACAGGCCTGCGTGCCGCTGACTGCGAGCTCTGGATAACTGGTCTCGCGCCGAACGGCGTGGATACTCCTCAGGAATGAAAGGCTCCCCCAGCTCCTCCGTTAAACTTCTACTTGATGAGCGTGTCCAGTACGCTAGACGTCCGATCGATAACGCCGTGCGGGATCTCGGTCCTCCGGCACCGCAGCTGACAGAGGTCCGGCGGTTCCCTCTTCCTTCCCAGGAGGGCGAGGCGGGCTTCAGCAGGGAAGGGGCGGCGTCGCCGTCTCCCGACAGGGGCGCTCCCCGCCCCAGGCCGCGGCCTGCGGAGGCGGCGCTCCCGGCTGGTCCCGGCGCGGCCGCTCGGCCTGCCCCGCCGTCCATCCGCCGCCGCGCGGCCGGGCTCATCAGCCGGGCGCTCGGCTGCACGGCGCGGCTGCGGCTGCAGCTGGCTGGGCCGGCGCGGCGGTCTTTTTCCGGGTGGCTAGGTCACTCGTCGGCCGGCCCGGACCCCGGCCACAGCAGCGGCACAGCAAGAGAGCAGCAGGCGCGGCGCGATCCGCGCGGGCAGCTCCCCGGGCCGCGGCCGCCATCCGGCCCGCCGACCGGCCGCGCGCGAGCCGCCAAGGAGGAAGTGCCGGCGCCGGGAAGCCTCGCCCGAGCCGCGGCCGCCGCGGCGCGTCCCTCACGCCTCGCCACAGCCGCCGCCGTTCAGGGGGCAGGGCGCACCATGCGGGAGGCGCAGGGCAGGCCGGCGTCCGCAGCCGCCCGCTCGGCTCTCGTCCTCCCGCGGCGGCCACACAAGACTCGGCCAACCGTCTCGGCGCGGCCCAGCCCAACTCCTCGGGCCCCGCCCCTTTCCCGCGACGGCCTCCCATTGGCCCGGCGTCCGCCTCGGCGTCGTGACGTCAGCGGCCAGGTTGGGGCGCGGCTCACGGCGTCCTGCCTCGGCCTGGGCGCCGCGGCCTGGTACCCGGCGCCACGTGACCTTCCTCTGCTCCCATCCCTCCCGCGCCCCTCCCGGGACCCCGTCGCCTCTCTCTGCCCCGGCGGCCCGGGCCTGCCTCCTCCCGAGCCTTCTGCCCTCACGCCGAGACCCGCCTCTCCCTGCTCCCCGCCGTTCTTGGACGTCCAGTTAGTTCCAGCGCCACTGGCTACGTGGCACTTGCGGGCAGGGACAGCCGCACCCAGCCCTCTTCCTCGCGCCCCGCCGGTTCCCCGCGCCGCCCTGCGCGCCGCCACCGGCTGCGGAGGATGTTCTCGGGGCTCAAATTCCTATTTAAAAAAAAAAAAGCTCAGAAATGGTCTTTGGAAATAACATAAAATGTTTCAAGTCTTGTTTTAAGATGCTGTTTGCCTATGATTACCCCCAGCCCAAAAATGTCTGATGTTGCCTCTTGAGAGTGTGAGGTTCGCACGCGGGTGAGAAAGAATTCTCAGACAGTGATTAGAACATACAGAAGTAAAGTCTATTTATTTTCCCAAGAAAGAGAGAAAGACCGAGAAAGGGAAGGAGTGTGACACAGAAGGAGGAAAGAAATATCCAGCAGCAAGGACAGTTGCCTGGTGCTTTTAAAAGCTAAAGGGCCCTTTTTTTTTTTTTTTTCCCCTGCTTCAGGAGACTGATAGCGAAAGGATGTCAGGGAGTTCTAATTTTCTTTTTCTGTGAGGCTGGGTTATCTGAGTCCTTGAAATCTGTTTTTTTTTTGTTTGTTTGTTTTGTTTTTTGGCAGGAACTGAGGCAGAGAGTTGGAGCAGGGAGTTTGCACCCCTACTGTCCGCTTAGGACTCTTCAAGGCTGAGAAAGAACTCAGAGATAAGTTAGGGCACATGTGTTTTATTTAAACAAAGGGTAGTTGTACTCTAAGTTTATTTCTCTCGCTTTCTGTTTAATAGATTATTTTTTATCTGTTAGGTTATCAGTAAAACCACTTTTCATTGCCCTTGTCCTGAAATGCCTTTATGTTTGGAAGCAATTGTTTTGTGCTGCTCCTTTTACTCCTTAAAATGTCTGGCTTTTGAAATTGAGTGTTTAGGAGGCTGGGCTCAGTGGCTTATGCCTGTAACACTAACACTTTGGGAGGCCAAGATGGGAGGATCGTTTGAGGACAGGAGTTCGACACCAGCCTGAGCAACAGAAGGAGACCTGGTCTCCACAAAATATAGAAAAAGTAGACAGGTATGGTGACATGTGCCTGTAGTCTCAACTACTCGGGAGACTGAGGCAGAAGGATCACCCGAGCCCAGGAGTTTAAGGTTGCAGTAAGCTACGATGACACCACTGCGCTCTACCCAGGGCAACAGAGTAAGACCCTGTCTCGAAAATAAATAAATAAATAAAATGAGAAAAAGTTGCATCCACAGAGTGGAAGATCCTCTGTTTTCTCAAGCCTTGAGAGTAGAGCTTTTCCACCATGAAAAGTCTGTGGACGCTGAGACCTGCGCTCCTGTCCTCCCACACACAGGCCTTCAGAACTGTGACAAAGGTAAAGAATGGCCCCTGCTTCCATCAACATGAGAAATATCTTCCTTGTGGACTACATAAATTTGGAAATACTGTAGCTGAAAATGATGCAGGGAGTAAGTTGCAAGGCTATAAGTTACATAAGTTATAAGGCTGGCATCCACAGTTTTTCTGTCTTTCCCCACTCTCCTAAAAAAATAGCTAGAGAAACAGCCTAAGAAGAAAAAATAAGTTTGTACAAGGGCCTGTCACACTGTTTGTAGAAGTAACACCCCAACAGGTCAAGGATGACAAACCCAAAGCTTCTAGAAACTTAAACAAAGGAAACAGACCTGGTGGGGTCACCAGCCCTGTCTAAGGCAAGTATACACTATCCTGCCCTGGCCAATGACTGCAATGGGGAGTAGGACCCCTAGTTTATCAGATATTCCAAACTGTCAAGGGAAAAGCCAGAGATCTGAATAGCTACGTGAAATTTACTAATTCTTAAAATTTGGCAGTTGTCTCAAATTAGGATTACATTCCACGAAACAAATGTAAAATCCAAAAGAATATCTAGCATAAATTAGATATTAAATGTTTTCCTCTGTTTGAGGCAGTTCAGAACTAATCCAGTAGCTCCACAGAGATTGGGGATCCAGGTTCCTTCCGGCTTTCTGCGATATCATTCCTAGGGTATGACCTTTATCTCCATGGCCCAGTATGGCTGCCAGAGCTCTGGCATCCAAGTTCTAGGCAGCGTGGTGGAAGACTGGCTGAAAAAGCAAGGAGACACAGGATACCCATCAGGTGTGCTTTAAGGGAGCTGCCACAAAAAATATCTGCTCACATCTCATTGGCTAGAACTTAGCCTCATGGCCATAGCTAACTGCAAAGGAAGCTAGCAAATGTCTTTATTTCAGGGGTTTTTACTATTGGGAATAAGAGGAGAAAGGCTATTGGGGTCAGCAATTAATAGTCTGTGTCATTGTAACTATATTAGTGACGGTTTTCTAGGGAAGCAGAACCCATACCAGACACACAGCAAATCTGAAATCCCTCAGGCCAGGCCAACAGGCTGGAAACACATGCAAGATTTTTATGTATCAGAATTCCTTCTTCTCAGGAAACCTCAGATTTTGTTCTCAAGGCTTTTAACTGATTAGATGAGGCCCATCACATAATTTGGGACAAAATTTCTTTACTTTATAGTGAACTGACTGTAAAATGTTAATCATATTTACAAAACATCTTCAAGCAACATCTAGATTAGTGTTTGAACAAAGTTCCGTAGCCTTGCTAAGTTGACACATAAAATTAAATCTTACAACTAATTCAAAATTAAAAAAAAAAAAAACAATGCAGGCAAGACAGTGCCTGTCTACGAGCTGCTTTGACTTGCAGCTGGCTGGTTTGCAATCCTTTCTCTACATGTTGGAGAAAGCACCTTGGCCCTTTACAGACCTACAATGAAAATGGAAAACTACCCTAACCACATACCCACCATATAGCTGGAATTACACACACCATAACAAGAGGTCTGCAGTGAAGGAACCAAAGTCCCACTCTTTCTGGGGGACTGTACGTAGAGAAACAGGCAGTCCTGTGTTTTTTTGTTTTGTTTTCATTTTTGTTTTCACCACTGTACTGATGGGATGCTATCAGATAATCAACGCACTTTTCTCCTTGACTCCTTTCTAACTCATTATATTATTTTCTCGGCAAAAGCAAAACTTCTGTTGCTAGGTATTGATTTAGAGTAGGCGTCCTCAAACTACAGCCCGCGGGCCACATGCAGGTGTTTTTGCCCGTTTGTTTTTTTACTTCAAAATAAGATATGTGCAGTGTGCATAGGAATTTGTTCATAATTTTTTTAAAAGTATAGTCTGGCCCTCCAATGGTCTGAGGGACAGTGAACTGGCCCCCTGTTTAAAAAGTTTGAGGACCCTTGATGTAGAGTCATAGGAGGGAGTGGTAAGGGGGAAAGGTAGGGAGTTGGGGCTAACAAGAAGCCTATAATTAGGAGAGGATTTCCATACTCCCCACAGAAAGTTCTTTTAAACTTGTGCTTCTCTTTCAAAGTTGACCTTTATACACTCAGCCTAGAAAATGGGGGTAGGTGCAGTCACTTTGTCACTGATTTGTAAGAGGGCTTTATCTATTGTGAACATTTATTTTTCATTTCTTACATTAATATGTATAATTGGTTTTCCTAATTTTCATAACACTGTTGTTTATGATGTTTTACACTATAATTCAGTATGTGCTTACTCAGCCTTTCTGAGTCAATCTGAATAATACTGTGAGGGACAGAAAAACAAGAGGTAATGGAAATCAGAGAAACAGGAAGGGGCGACCGTCGCGCGTCTCCCCGGAACAGGGCGCTCCCCGCCCCAGCCCGCGCCCCCGGCGGAGGGCGCGCTCCCTGGGTCCCGGCCGCGCTCGCGGCCTGCCCCGGCCGTCATCCCCGCCTGCGCGGCCGCTCACCTCACCGGGCGGCTCGGGGCCCTGCACGGCCGCCGGCTGCGGCTGCAGCTGTGGGCCGGCGACGGGCTCTTGTTCCGTGGGCTAAGGTCCTCGTCGGGGCCGGCCCGGACCCCGGCCCACAGCAGCGGCACCAGCAAGAGGAGCAGCAGCCGCGGCGCACGCGCGCCGGCCTCCCCCTGGACGCGGCGCCATCCCGCCGCCGACCGGCCGCGCGCGAGCCGCCAGGAGGAGTGCCGGCGCCGGGAACCTTCGCCCGAGCCGCCCGCGCGGCGCGTCCCTCCACGCCTCGCCACACCGCCGCCGTTCAGGGCAGGCGCACCATGCGGGGCCGCAGGCAGCCGCGTCCGCGCGCCGTCGGCTCGCTCCCCGCGGCGGCCCACACAGACTCGGCAACCGTCTCGGCGCGCGGCCCAAGCCCAACTCCTCGGGCCCGCCCCCGACGGCTCCATTGGCCCGGCTCCCGCCTCGGCGTGGACGTCAAGCGCCAGGTTGGGGCGCGGCTCACGGCGTCCTGCCCTTCGGACATGGCCAGTCGCGCGGTACCCCGGCGCACTGACTCGTCTGCTCCCATCCCTCCCGCGCCCTCCGGACCCGTCGCTCTCTCTGCGGCCCGGCGCCGGCGCTCCCCCGTAGCCTTCTGCCCTCACGCCGAAGACCCGCCTCTCCTGCTCCCCGCCGTTCTTGGACGTCCAGTTAGTTCCAGGCGCCACTGCTACGTGGACGCTTGCGGGCAGGACAGCCGCACCCAGCCCTCTTCCTCCGCCCGCCGGTTCCCCGCGCCGCTCCTGCGCCGCGCCACACTGCTGCGGAGGATGTCTCGGGCTCAAATTCCTTTAAAAAAAAAAAAAAAAAAAGCTCAGAAATGGCTTTGGAATAACTAAAATGTTTCAAGCCTTGTTTTAACGATGCTGTTTGCTATGATTACTCCCAGCCCTAAAAATGTTCTATCCCGTGCCTTGAGAGTGTGAGGTTTCGCAGCGGTGGAAAAATTCTCAGACAGTGATTAGACATACAAAGTAAAGTCTATTATTTTCCCAAGAAAAGACGAAAGACCGAGAAAGGGGAAGGAGTGGCGTGACACAGAAGAGGAAAGAAATATCCAGCAGCAAGGACAGTT